CCTTTATTGCTTTTTTCATTTGAAGAAAACAATTGCTGTATTAATTCATTAGTTTTCATATATAATATATATACATATGTATATAATGTAGAATATGGGAAGGAAGAGATATCTTCCAAAATTTTTCCAGCAATGCCTCAAAAAATGATACACCATAACAAAATGGAAGTTATTAAAAATTGCAAGAATAAATATTAAAAAGGTTATTAATAATGATGAAAAATCTGTAATAAAAATAATATGGTAAACTATATGAATGCTAGGATAAACTAAAGCCAATTTAGGGTCCATTTGTCTTAGAAACAGGCATAAAACATAAATACTTCCTTAAAATGTGACTATCTCAGCTCAGACCTAATACAGTAGTTCCTAGGAAATAAAGTCCAATTAAAGTGAAGAATAAGGTATGTATTTTCATCACTATTACTATTTAAAATTATTCAGGGGAAACTTAACCAGTGAACTAGGAAGATAGAAAGTAACCACAAGTATAAACACGGGAAAATGAAAGATAAAATCATCAGACTTTGTAGATACAATTAAAGTTGTAAAAACTAAGGACAACAATTTAAAAACTATAGAAAAGAAAATTTAGTAAGCTAAATATGTGTTAAAAGTATTTGTATATAAAAGCTCTAATCAGTGGCCAAATGAAATAAAATAAAATGCCTAGCACCGGCCTGATAGCTCAGCGGACTAAAGCACCCGCTTGGCCGAGCACAGTGGCTGGGGTTCAATCCCTGGCGTGCTGTGTCGGCCCCATCCGTGAGGCAAACTGAGATAGTGATTGAGACTGGGGGTGGTGCCGCACACTTGTACTCCCAGTGCTTGGGAGGCTGAAAACAGGAGAATCACTAAGAGTCTGATCTACACAGTGAGACCTTATAGACCTTGTCCTAAATACAGAAAAAAATAAAAATAAAAAATAAAATGCCTGGGTTAAACTAAATTTGTAAAGAGGGTCCTTTAATAAAGGATATGTTGGGGCTGTAGAGATAGCTCAGCATCTAAGCACCTGCCTGGCAAGCACAAGGACCCAAGTTTGATCCCTGGTACCATGTGCCTTGCCTTCCCTGGAACCCTGGACATGCCTGTGTGGCCACCGAAGCCCAGCATGATGCACGCCTGTAATCCCTGTATGGGGAAGGCTGAGACAGGAGGACCACTATGAGTCTGAGCTGCATAGTAAGACCCTGTACCAAAATAAGAATGATTTAAAAATAAATATGGGCATGTTGTGAAGATTTGATACACGTTGGTATCATCCTTTTCATAAAAATGATCTTTAGAAACAAAGTAAAGACTTAAACAAATGTAAAGGAATATTGTGTTCTTTGATTAGGAAAACTCAGCATTTAAATTTTTCTTTTCATCTTTTATTTATTTATTTGGTACAAGGTCTTTCCACGAAGTTCAGCCTCCTAGTGACTCTTCAGTCTAAGCTTCCCCAGTGCTGGGATTACAGGCGTGCACCACCCTGTGTGGTTTCAAGGCCCCCAGGGCTGGCCCAGGGTTCTGGGGCCTGAATGGCATGCAGTACCAGGGACTGAACCCCAGTCTTTGTGCTTGCAAGGCAGGCTCCTACACCGCCAAGCGATCTCCCCAGCCCAGCGTAATAAAAATATTAAAATAATTCAAATAAATAATCTAAAACAGGATTCAAATAAAATTGTCTGTAAAATAGAGTGACAGATCAGTCAAGACAAGCTGAGTGTCATAAGAAAATAAGCAAAAATAAGAGTAATAGGAGTCCTAAAAGATGTTAAAATCTGTTACTCAGCCTCACTAATTAAAATGTAAAGCTTTATGAATAAAGAGAATATTTATTTATTGTTGTATTTTTTTAGGGAAAGGTCTACAGGGTGTTTGGAGTCTCACTACTAGATCAGACTCATGGTGATCTGCCTGTTTGTACCCTCCCAAGAGCTGGGATTACAGGTTCGCCACACCCAGTCTCAGATGCCATCTCAGCACACCCCGGGGGTGGAGGCAGCATGGTAGGCCCAGGGATTGAAGCCCTGGCCCCTGCGCCTGCTTGCAGATGCTTTCATCCACCGAGCTATTTGGCCAGCCCTATGAATAAAAAGAATAGAACAGAACAAGAATCCCAGAAACTTCTCTAACCACTAATGAAATCACTGGAAGAAAGATGAGTTATACTTGATACTGAAATATAAAACCTGAACATAGCAGGGAAAATCAGCTTCTACTTGCTTCATCCACACAATGTGAATGATTCTCAACTTCATTTAGAATAAGAGAAATAAAAATTTAAAGTATAGTGAAAACCAGACAAAATATGTTAAGATTCTAGATTGGTATTTTGTTAATGGTTAAGAGAGATGGCATTTTCATAGCTCTTTTTGGAGGTAAAAATAGTAGCATGGGGGGAGGGGTAGTGGTAAAAAAATTTAAAATAATTTAAATTTAAAATTTAAGTATTTTTTTAAGAAAATGTATTTAGGACAGGGTCTCACTACATAGATTGGACTCGTAACTGACTCTTCTGTTCTCAGCCTCCCAAGTGTGCCACCACACCCAGTCTCAGTCACCCTCTCAGCGAGCCTCAGGGGCGAGGCTGGCACAGCGAGCTGGGGATGGAATCCCGGTTGCTGCACTCCGCCTAAGCAGGCGCTTTAGTCTGCTGAGCTATCTGGCTGGCTCTTTAAGTTTTATACACCCTTTGGAATAGCATTTTCACTTCTAGCAGTGTATCCTAGAGAAGCAAAATTGATCATGAGCACCATTTTTATTGCAGCATTACTTGAGCTTGTAAGACTGAAACAGTCCACATACCCTACCTTTCTAACAACTCATAAACCATGCATTGAGACACAGAACTCTGTCCGTCCAGAGTAAGGAAGTAAGATGTATTGTGTACACATACCAGCTTCCCACAAGGCATGTAATCATTACATACTACACACTTATGCTAATATCCTAAAATTAAGATAAGAGTTACCGGGAGTAAGGAAAACGTGTGCGAAACGTCTAGTAGGTGCTTACGCACTGGAGCCTGACACAGTGCCGGCGGCCCGTGGTCGCTGCTGCAAACAGCACTGCTGTGGTCCGCGCAGCAGCAGCACCCCGTCAGCTGGTCAAAGAACCTGGATCCCTGCTTTGTTAGACTGAGGGGTCTCTTTCCTGAGTATTTTCTGTGTTTATAGCTTGCTAGTGTCATAATAATTTTGAGAAATTCTGACTCAGCATGTGATTAATGAACGGAATATTTTTGCTGACAAAATACATTTTTGAAAGCAAAAAGGAGAAAAAACCACCTTCTTCTAATGTACATGTGGAAGTGTTATAGGGAGGCATTTTTCCTCAAAAGGGAATTTGAAGACTTTGGGGTGGCTATTCCAGCCTTCGTGTTATGTTTCCAACCCATTGTTAGTATCTTGCTTAGCATAATTTTAATTTACCTAACTTGTCTTTCTCAAGTCCTTCCGAAGCATTTCTAATTCAGTTTTAATAAAATAAAAATAAGCTTTCCTTCAGTTGTCTTCTATCAGTTAAATTATGTAAAAACCTATTACAACTAACTTATACACATGTAGGGATAAATAGAACTACCTTTTGAAGTCAGGTGCACTAGTGGAAGTAGCTGTGCCTTGTCAACACTAAAGTAGCCACACGCAGACACACAACGTGACAGTTAGCATATCTGAAAGACTTCGATCCTTGGTTAGTCCGCCACGTTGGTTAAGAGGTGATTTAAAACAATGTTTACTATAAACCAACAAGTAAAGAGTAGCCCATTATGTTCTAAATGAAATAAAATCAGAATAACCCGAATAAAAATGATTTGCTACTGTTTTTACATTTTTATGATGGGAGTGCTCTGTCTTCATTATGACTTCCACACAAGCCCATGTTCTTTCCAATGTTTCAGGCTTTGGTCCGAGAGTTACAAAACGATGTCCATGTGATAAGGCAAAAAATCAGAGAGCTTAAAAAAATGCAGAAAAACAGAGAAGCTTGTAAAACCTCAACCCATAAAGCCCAGAGCTTGGCAGCTTCTATCCTGAACATTTCACGATCAGATCTAGAGGAAATATTGGATACGGAAGATGAAGTGGTAAGACCATTTAAATATTCATTATATAATGAGGGCTTATTATATATCACATATTTTGTTTTATAATTCATAGGATTTCATCATTTAGATTACATTCATCAAGGTGAGATTAATGTGGCAACTATATACATCAAATAATAACCACCTCAGAAAACCTTTAGAGAAACTTAACTGTGTAATATAGAAATCACCCAGAACAGGCTGGGGAGATAGCTCAGTGGCGTAAGCACCTGCCTGGCAAATGCAAGGTCCTGAGCTCAGTCCCTCCATACCCCGTGCCGTGCCACTCCGAGAACCCCAGGTGAGCTGTGCTGACCAGAACCTGGGAGTGATGGTGCTCACCTGTTATTTCAATAGTGGAGAGGCTGAGACAGGAGGATCACTAGGAGCCTGAGCTGAGTAGTGAGCCTTGTATCAAAGAAGAAAAGGGAAAGAAAGAAAGAGAAAGAAAAGAAACAATCCAGACTATATATTTTTGAATACCTTGTCATTTTGACCAGTTATCCTTTTCCTGTTTACTCCATTTTCTTTAATTTAATTACATTATATATCTTCTAAGCTAGTATTTTAAATTAAGTCAGTTTGAATGGATTTAGTTAAACTGTATCTCATATGTGAGATTTCATATAATGTTTCATTTTGGTTTTTGCTTGTTTTGGGGGGGACTGGGGATAGAACCCAGATCTCACCCATGGTAGGCTGGCACTACCGGAGAGCTGTATACTCTACCTGGTTTTTCTTTTTGTTTTTCTTAGCAGCAAATTTATTGGCTTGACTGTCTAAGCAGTCAACATGCCTGTTTTGAAAATATATTGTTGCAAAACACATTTATTGTTCTAAATGGAGCAAAGTGTTCCTATCTCTGGGAGGCATATGCAGTAGGCAGAGGTCTTGGGTAGTGTCACAGTGCTTTCATAGAGCACTACCCGTGGGGTCAGTCACCACCCTAAAACGGCAGAGCTTCCTCTTGGGCAGGAGTCTGTGAAGCAGTGGAGGAGGCACAGCCCCATTCTCCAAGCCTCTGAACGCTACCATGGCTGCTAGATTTTGTTGTTGCTGTTGCTTTTTTTTTTTTTTTTGAGCTAGGATCTCACTATGTGGCCCACACTAGTCTTAAATGCACTATGTAGCCCAGGTTTTCCTTGAACTTGTAGTGATCCTCCTGCCTCAGCCTCCTCTAAGTGCTGGGAATGTAGGTCTGTACCACCATGCCCAGCTTTAAAATTGTGTATTATTTGAAAATATTGAAGAGATCATGGCACTAAGAACATCCAATAAATAATGTGCTCGGTGAACAAGTAAAATTAAAAACATAAATGCTTATTTGTATGAGGCCAGCCACAAGGCTCCCATCAACTTCTAAAAGATCTTCTGAGTAGAGCAAACCTACAATTTGCAAAGGCTTTCAAATTGCCAAGAGTTCTTTGAAAAGATGTCAAAGAAATTTGTGCTGCAGCTGTCTCCATTCTATGGTGAGTGGGACGGTGAGCTATCAGCTCTCTGTGCTCAGAAGCTTTGCCACAGTTTCTACCAGATCCTGAACTGTGAAGTGAAGAGCGCTGTCCAGTGTACTATCAAGTATGAGACGTGTGGGAGGCAACATTGCCTCTAGCAAAGATACTAGCTGTGTTTCATTGTAGATAGTAATTACAGTTTGTTAATAGTGAAAAACTTACCAAATGTTGGTATGGAGACTGCTAATGCTACCTGGAGTTTTAACCTAAGCACATAGAGCAAAAGCACTCATACAGGTACGTGTGTGTGTGTGTGTGTGTGTGTGCACGTGCACACATGTTCTTAGACACAAATGTGTGTGCATATCCTGGGATGCAGAGCCATTGCCTTTGTTAGGATTCTAAAAGGTGCCCTTTCTAAGCTGACAAGTTAGAAAAAGGCATCCCCTCCTAACTGGCAAGTTAATTTTTTTCCATCAAGTCTGTATCTCTCATTACAATCCCAGACTATACAGTGCATTTCTGTAAAAAATTAGCACCACTTGCAGATACCGTCTGAGGTCAAAGTACACAGCACTGATACTGCGCTGCACACACGTGAAGTGGAGGTTGTCCTGGAGAGAGGACCTGAGAAGGACGGGCCCGCACCATATGTGCTAGGCTTCACTGCAGACCAGCGCTTCCCTAAGCCCAGCCCTGCACTTTGTAGCAGGATAAGGAGTGCCGTGCAGCCCCCACGCAGAGCCAGACCTCTTCATTTCTGTTCTCAGAAGGGCACATTTCAAGTCCTGATCACATATGGAAGCTGCCTGGCGTCTCAGTCTGTCTTGAGCTCCACCGTGAAAGCAGAAATGAAATACTCCTAAGTTATTGTGAAATACAGAAATATGACTTTGTGTTCTGCATGTAAGCAAATGTTTACAAATTAACTATTAAAAAGCATGGACTTCAATATTTCTACATTGACAGTACAGGCAGCTCTTTGTTAAAGTTATTCCACTGGTGTCCCTCTAGGTTTATTCAGTAATCAATAATATGACCACGTTATATATGTGTATCAACATCAACATTCTCTTCTTTTTAGGAAATGAAAAAGACCAAGATAGATGCTGAAAATGACAAGGAATGGCTGCTATACATTCGGAGACTTCTTGAAGGACAGGTATTTTCTCTCACTTTTGCTTCACACATTAAAACTGCCTAACAAGAAATAAGCCTTACTTTTTTATAGATGCCTTTTTCTAAACATTTACTTACATTTTTTGGTAAAAAAATTATCCCAAAAGGTAAGCAAGAAAGTTAACCCCCCATTTGTACTTTTGGAGTTAACAAATGAAACAAATACCTTGGGAAAGACCCAACGTGGGTCTCAGCAAATGCATTAATTAAATTATCGAGTCAACCTCTGTGCTTGCCAGACTCAGAAGGATCCATTCTCTCAGACCTCTTAGGAGACGAGGCTCTATACCATGTGTCTTTAAAGCCAGCAGTTGATGTGGACACCTGAGGAGTTCATGGTTTCAGTGACCTTTTACTGCGGACCTGTTTCCAGTCAATTCATGTTTTCCTCACAGCCAGACAGCTGTTTATTACTGTGTCTTCCCGCACTCTCTACAATATTTTCTACTGAGACCTCGAGCAGCTTGTTAGTGGGAAGTAAATATTGATTTGGCATCCTGTCAATGCAGAAAGAATGAAAAAATTTCCACCAGAGGCCCCTCAAACATTTTCCTATCGACGTTTTCTGGGCTGAGTGGAAAGCTGCATAGAGAATGACAAGGCCAAGGCGAGCTGCAGTCCCTGCGGGGTCTATTGAGACTGCTGCTGTGACCTGTGTGATACTTTTTCTTCCCTTTCAAGTATTTTTTTAATACACAGATAGTCAGCTGGGATGCGCCCCTCTTGTAAGTGATCAAGGGCAGTTTATTGGCAGGTGAGAGCCCTGCTTTTCTAGTCATAGCCAGCTTTTGTTTTGACATCACTGACAGCATGTAATGTATTTCAAAACTTTGTCATTAGTTTTTGCTCATTCTAATTGTTTACTTCAAAATTGATCTGGAATAAATAAAAATGAAAACATCTGTCAAAGTAGCAAAATTTTCCTATGAATTTGGAAGACATAAATGCTTCTCTGTAAAGATTAAAAACAGAAGCTGACATTGTCTACCTCACACTTATTAATAAAAACAGCAGTTTCTATGTTTGGTGAAGTCAAAACTTATATATAAGTTATCTGTATTCATGTGAGTTACATATATTTTTGAAACATTTGAAATCACTTCAATGGTAATAAATGGTAACTGGCAGGCTTTTGCTTAAAGTTGCTGGAGTGCAGATGCACGGTGCTGGACAAAGCCTTCTACAGGGACAGCGTGCTGTGACAGTGGAGTCGGCTCTGGATTGTGCTGTGTGCCCAGAACTCAGCTTGGGCTTGGCACCAAGAGAAGCACACGACTGAGGGGTTTTTTTCTAGTTTGAAGATGATAAAAACAAACCTTTTAATGATTTTTTAAGATGCTCACCTTGTAAATATGACCTTGTATATCCTTTAATTAGAAAATTTATTATCATTTATGTCCATAAAGAAAAAAAATTATATATATATATATATAATAAATGTTAAATAAAAATTATATATATATATATATATCTTTACTAAATTTCACTAGTTATGCTAATATATGACCTGCTTTTAGGGCTAACATAGATAGAAGTACATACACATATTGAGATATGTGCTAATTCTGTCCAGTTAGTGTAAAATTCCTGTTGAAAATGGCATCAGATTTCTTAATACTGCAGCTTGATATAGTGCCTTTTTGTGCCACTGAGCCTGGACTCTGGAATATAATTGCCTAGTAGTATTGATTTAATTGCCCAGGTTTATTTGTGGACTCCTAATTATTGACTGGAGGTGAATTTAATGGAGCAGCCTTTATGAACGCAGGGAAACCGCTGCTGTTGCTGTTATACATAATGAACTGCATCATGTGCCTTCAGATCATTTTTCAAGCTAATTTTATTCTACTGTGACAGTATGATAACATTTAAAAAGTCAAAGACTTTTTTATTTTTATTACTGACATAGGTGGTTTTGCTAATGTCTTTGGATTTGTGAGGAAAAAAATAGAGACCTCATTGGTTGCACTTGAATGTCATTTTATAATTATGCCCAAGAGAAAAATCTGTAAAATAGGAACAATCTCTTGTTTTTGCTAGCCTTTTCTTCTGTCTTAATCTCAGCAGTTATATTTGTCCTGGACTTCAGAAAACATTTTCTTTACCTATCAGTTCTTTTAGTGTCCATGTTTTACTCTCGGGATTGTGTGGGCAAAGCATGAATAGGTTTGCTTATGCATTTATTTTAGTTTATGGCTTACATGTTCTTGTGAGTGAGTTTACATGATCTGTGTGTTGTAGAATAACTGATCACATCTTAAAATGATGATTAATTCAACATTCATATTTCAATATTAAAATATTTCATAGATAAAATTGTAGGAAAGTTTCCCTTAAATGTCCTCCCCCTGTATTGGTTGCTGTTTGATAGAGTCCTGAAATTACAAGAGGCAAACTGAACCTGTGATAGTATCTTTTGTTTATCTTTATCTTTCTATTAAGTTTTTCATTTGCATTCATTTGATAGTATTTTATGCTGGAAAAAATATTTACTGCAAAACAGAAAGCAGTCCTAACATGTGACACTGTGAAACTACACAATGTGTACTGTTGCTGCTACCCAGAAATACGTAAGAACTAAAAGGTCTACAATTTTAACTCATACACATTTGACATAGAATACAAATATATGTTCCCATTATTTCAAATAGTACTAATGCAATTGGTGATTCTATATATTTGTGGTTTTTTAATTTTGTATTGCTTTGTTTTTTTGCAACTTGCCCTTTTCTCTGGAAAATTTCCAACACTAAGAGTCACACTGGAAAAATAAATCTTAAGATCTGCTTTCATTTTTCTATGGAATAGCTTTATTTATTTTCTTTCAATATTTTACTTAATTCCCCTTTTCACATTAATGTATTTTTAACTTTTAACATTTATAACATACAAGCAAATTTGTGATTATAATAATTACATTTTTTTTTTTGGTGAGGAGTGAAGCCTAAAATAGTTTATTTGTGGTTTAGGAATTGGCAGGGAAAAAAAAAAAAACAGCAAAGGAAAGGAGGCTGGGACTAGTCTGGACAAACTTTTGAGCAGGATAGGGATATAATCAGTAGTGTGCTTTAGAAAGGTACATGACATGCTGAGGAGACAGCTCAATAGAATAAGCGCTTCCCTGGCAAGCACAAGGGTCTGAGTTCAATCCCCGGTTCCACAAAAAAAAAAAAGAAAGAAAGAAAAAAGAAAAGAAAGGTACATGACAGCAGCATAAGGGGTGGTTTGGAGAGAGAAGAACCTAGCAGCAAGAAAGTAACCTGGATAAGATCCAGTAAGAGTCATAAAGTAGGAAGGCCAGAGGTAAAGGTGAACCTCACCACAGTGAGTGAAAACACGACCATGGTGAGATTATGTGCAGGGGGGTCAGAAAGAAAGCAGAAGTGGCCAAGTTTAATATTGTCCATGGTGAAAATAACTTTAAGAATTTTAGAGAAAGAAAAAGATAAAAGCAGGTTTGGTAGGGAAGATATGCTAAATAGTATTTGAAGCCATGGTATATTTAGTAGGTTAACAATATTCAAAGACCCACTTCTCCCTTAATACATCACAACTTCTCCATGGCTCTTCTAAGTGAAATATAACCATTTAGGAATCCATTTCAAAGATGGACATGGTGGTGCGTACCATAATCTCAACTCCCCAGAAGACTGGGGCTGGAAGATCCCTTAAGCCCAGAATTCAATGCCAGTCTAGGCAACAAAGCCAGACCATATCTCAAAAATTAAAAGAAAGTAAAACAAAAAAAGGCAGTATAAACATTTACACTTCAACAATGAAAGACTCAGTTTTAAAAAATGGCAAAGGACTTGAGTAGACATTTCTCCAAGAATACACATACATAGCTAAAAATAAACGAAAAGATGCCTGACATTATTAGCTAATAGGGAAATGTGACTAGAAAAGCAAAGTAAGATAATATCTCACATTCACCATGGTTGCTTCAAGCAAAAGGATAGTAACGAGTGCTGACAACAGTGTATCTTTATTGGAACCAACATACATTGCTAGTGGGAATGTAAGCTGGTAGAGTTTCCCTCTGGAAAACAGTGTGGCACTTCCTCATGAAGCCAGAGTTACTGCAAGGCACAGCAATTCTACTTCTAAGTGTACACCCACAAGAAACGAACAGAGATGTCCATTACAAAAGAGCATTATTTATTATCAACTGATGAATGGCTAATAAAATATAGCATTGCTAGAACAAAACTCAACTAGCAAATGGAATGCAATGTTAATGTATACCATAACATGGAAAAATCTTGTAAACCTTAGGTGGAAGAGGCCATTTATAAAATGTTATAGTATGTAGTATGATTTCATTCATGTGAGATATCTAGAAAAGGAATATTCATAAAGACAAAAAGTAGATTCATGGTTGTCAGGGAATGGGTATAGATGAGTAGCTTCTAATGGGTCAAGTATGTATGTATGTATGTATGTATGTATTGGCAGAACCGGGGATTGAACTCAGGCCCTTGTGCTTGCCAGGCAAGCACTTATTCTACTGAGTCATCTGCCCAGTCAGGGTTTTTTGAAAGGAAAGAAGTGGTGAAATTTCCTGGAATTAGATAGTGGTGATCATTATCCAATCTTCTGACTCCATTAAAATCAACTAATTACGCACTTTAAAATGTTGAGTTTTATTATGGGCGTATCTATTCGAAGTAACTCCTTGCTGTGCACAGTGATGCGTGCCCATAGTCACAGCTCTCAGGAGGCTCAGGCAGGGAGGGTTACAAGCTGGAGGCCCTCC